AATAGGATATTCCTTCTATATGAGCCTACTCCCAATTTCCCCAAAACTTATTGTTATTTCTCTTAATAAACCTAACTTAAATGACGATTAAACTAAGTAAAAGGCTTTTGCACAATTAAATAAACTGAATGAATCACAATAGTGTTTTCAAGTATATGCCAAATTGTCCAGGTACATTTTCTTAATTAGCGTTGCATAGTCTTCGGCGGCTACTGTACTGAAAAATAAACCATTCATGTCGAAGGGGGTGGCTAAATTTAAATTTTATTAGATGAGGTGCAGATTATAGCTATCATACATCTAACAGTTTGTTTCGCATACACACTTTATGTCGTCCCAACTAAGCCTCGTTATACAGGAAATGATGATGACCAGTGACCATACGAAGAATACTGTCTTATAATCTTTAGACATAAAGAAAAATTTCAAAGAAAAGAGTCCTTTAAGAAGATGGCTAAATGTATTCAGTAACGTTTCGATACTGTAAGTCCAGGTCGTCGTCAGACTTAAAAAAATGTGCAAAGAACAGTCAACATTTCAAAGTGCGGATACAGTTATATATTCATCTAGTGTGGACGCTAATTGGTAGTTGTAATTTGCGTCACATCGTGGTGGACATAATTAGCATTCGCAATGGCGTAATGGCTAATTGACAACTGTATGATGAGTCGGTCCGGGGTCAATCCAGGTCATCCGGTGTCAGCACTAATTGCGCTTCAGGTTGGTCTATAGCTGTTGGCTGTAATCTCTTCCGCCTTTCTTTGAGGTGTTTGTTAACTCCAGCCAACCACCTTATCGAACTGGTTGGCCTGTACACACACCAGTTGCAAATATTTAACCATATCAATGCTCCTTCCGATGTCCAGTAATAATACCATACTACGTGATCAAGGATTTCTGCACGAGGTTCCATACATTTCGAACAACTTAATATCATTTCTTGTTATACTGCTCGAGTGTATGACCTCCAATTAGCGTCCTATCATTTTTAGGTTCCACATACGTTAATCCATAAATGTGGAACGCTTCAAGCGCGTTGTGAAACCTGGTATGAATATGTGAAGCGACAACTATCACTTACTGCAGCATATATGCGGAAACATCACAGACTGCCACCATGCTCTGAGGAGTTTTCAACCACGCAAGCGTTAAACATATCGACACTACATTTACTACCTAACAGACCAGACGGGCGTGCTTTGTCGTTGCGTGATGCAGCTACTAGGGTTTCATCATACGAGCGAGCCTATCGGCGTTATCTGTGTGTTTTTCACTTTATAAAACTCTAATTTCATGTCACCTTGTTATATTGCAGAGGAAATAATTGCTCAAAACTAGCGTAACGTCTTTGGAAGATACCTTTTTGGCTCAGTCCGAAAAATGACACGAATATTTTACGTGAGGTGCTCTGTATTCGTAGGTTATTTATTCGACTGTTTAATTTTTTCTTGTTCTGGTTTATTCTACGCATTCACTGTATGCAAATTAACCTCCAATAGAATGAAACTTATAACCTCCAAGTATTTCTTAAAAACGACCATGCTTTATTAAATGTTTATCTCCTTACTGTATTACATACGCAGTATGCCGGGCCTTAGGTTGTAGATTTTTCTTCTTATCATCCTTATCTCATCATTTTTTACCCCTGCGCTTCTTGGATAAAAAATGGGGCAAATTACCGCGTCAGACAAAAGACAAACAATGACTTCTAAACACTAGAGGAGGGCTAATTAGACAGCTTAGAATGAAATGATAGAATAACTGCAACAACGGACACTTAAACTCATGAAATTTTCTCGTCACATAGGAAAATTACCGTATTTATCGGCATCGTGATATATGCTAGGCAATTTGTAGCGTGTTTTTTTTGTTTTATGGCGATAAGCTAGACAAGCTATGAATTACAATTAAATAACCAACAAGCGGAATATGTCAACTCATCGACTTAAATAAGCAAAAATGGTACAGCTGGTGGGTATTATGTAAAATACACAGACCAGAATGACGATTTCTGGCTTATGGTCCGTCCTAGTTTAGTTATAGTAAATCCAAAATAAGGAAGCTTTGAGACTCGAGCTGGGAAATGAAGTGCCTGAGTCAACACAATAGTGTTGTCTATTCACCTTTCATCGGGGCCATTTTTCATAAACAGATAACCTCATGCCCAGAAAAACCTCTTAATGGTTAGTTTACCAAAAGTGTGCAGTTTAAGCCAGTAAACTAGGCGTCAATAATTTAAGACTGTAGAATATGTACTGAAGGAAAAGTGTTTATTTTACAAACGACTGCTAGCAGTTTTCTAAACCACTTATATCAACGTCCCTAATTTTTCGCTGTTACTCAGTTTATAATAGTTATAGTAATACATGTAAGTATTTAAGTATCTCCACAATATAACAAATAATCTAAAGAATTAACTAGCGTACCAGCGATCCAGACATAGTCGTGAATTTGCTATTAAGGTTGTGATTTTGTCAATGTTTATGTGATGGATACTCGGTTTATTGCCGTTATCTTGTCAAAGCAAGCCGGTCCAGATGGTAGAAATAACAAAAACCATGCATAATACATTTAATATGCATACATCATATACGATTGTCTATTTACACCGCAAGGGTATAGTGAAATAAAATTTTTGTTGGCTCCTTTGTACTTTTGAAGTAACTAAGCAGTGAAAGTTAAAATCAAACGCTTTCACTGACATTTCCCTCAGAGAAACCAACTTTTTATATGTGGGAAGATTCTAAGACAGGATGCCTGTGACATAAAGAAACTATCCTTTCGCTGGATTTAAGATGTGCGATTTATATTTGACTTCCAGCTCAAAACAAAAATCAAAAACCTACTGACATCATCCTTTAGACATCTATTGGGTGATGTCTAAACGGAAAAAGAGGGAAAAAACGAAATATCGTCTATTATAAAACTTCCTTCTTTCTATTCTTAATTTGTAGACGACATGTTTGCAGATGGGAGTCTCGATTTGGGTACTCCCCTGAATAAAGTGAATGCGGCACATCCAACATGAACTTTCACTGTGGCAAAAGTAAACTAAAAGTGCCTCGCCAGTTCTAGACATCTTACATCGTCCTACACCACAAGAAAACACACAAATGGACACATGCAGATCCCTAGAGTTTTGTTCTACTAGGTTACACAAAAGTGTGATGTGCTACTTCATAAAAACTATTTTCTCCAGATACAGTGTTAGTTTAAACACAAAAAACTATTATCAATGCACTTATAGAGGAATTTCCCTAAAATCTGAAGTGGTAGCGGCTGAGATTAAAAGTCGACCTCGGTATCTTCAAATAAACGCTGCAATCGCGTGCACACATTTAGCTGCTGAGATAAGACTCGTAATTTCAAGCACTTCACTACGACAATACAGTCTTGTTTCAGCCTCCTTCATCCCCATTTAAGTATTAACCTGCTCCTATTGTGCAGGTTTTATTGGTTGAGGAAGAAGCCGTCTGTGCAAACGGCTAAAAGAACAGCATTTTTTCTGACTGAACTGAGACGTGGTAAACTCTATATAAAGCGCGATGCTGCCTCTCGTGCTAGACAGCGGTCACCAAGCAGACGTCAAACAAGCGTTCAATGTCATTTATTAACTTCCTACCGAACAATCCAAATCACTGCATTAGCGGATACCTGCAACGGCAGTGGCAGTCGTCAGATGGCTAAGGATTCCGATTATATGCGCGCAGATGTTTATCATACAAGCTGTTAGGTTCCCTTTTCCGAAGACTAAATCAGCATGTGTCATAAAACCTCCTATCACGCCACTTTACACCACAGATGCAGCGATAAGGACTAATTTTCGACCGATTCCCGTTACTCTTTTTCATCACCTCTGACACCTTGATTTGACTAGAATCCGACTTTATGATATCCTAACTCCTAAATTTCTTGCTTATTGTTGATTCGGTGCTTAAATTATTGTCCCCCTTACCTCTCTTGTATAACTCTAAACGCCCAATTCGTAATTTTCGAAAACGTACTTTCGCACGCTAAACCACTTGAAAACCTCTTTAATATTTTTACACATTTGCGTAATGATTTGCGAGTGAGTCCTAAATGCAGAACTAGATAACCCGCAAAACAGGCGACAGACTCTGCTGCTACGCCCATTTCCACTATTGTCAACTGTGCTGTTTAAATGATGTCATTGAGGTTACATTGTATAGTGGCTAATATATTCTTGCAATAGTGCGCCTTCGTGGCAGTCCATGTGCATAACGAATCAGCAGACTTCCGTCTTGTACGCTGCTATTGGCTAAAATATGCTGACTTTCCTATTGGCTGTTTCGAGATGAATTGCATCCAATTATCGTTGGCCATTCACGAGGGTGTATTTATCCTCAGATAGGTCGAGAACGTACATTGATTACTTTTTATATTTACGTCAAGTTTCCTCGACAAAAGCGATTAATACAACAGGACGCACGGTTAAACACGACCTGCGTAAATGAATCATCAGGAACTGACCTTATTTGGATTTATCAAATAGTCAAAGAAATCTCGGAACATGATTGAGGACGATTTCGATCGTTTCTGTCGTATTGGCAAGGGTTATCACAGTCCAAATCCCCATGCCCAGAGATTACAATCTGGTCCAGAGATCTACGATCAACAGGAACAACAAAGCTCCGTGCGACAGGATTTCCTCACAGCACCCCAGTCCATCTCGCGTTACCGATCGAGCAGCCTTCGTGAGCACCATCGACGCAGTCCCTATCAGTACAGTCCTCGTGCTAGCCTGACTCGACGACAAGAGAGTTCTTTCAAGGAGCGGATCTCTCCGGAGGGACCGCTCTCCTTAAGCACAGATTTACCGGGTCGTTCCAGACGACATTCCCTTGCCCCCACATTTCAGAACCCGGAACGTCAACCTCTACAGGCCTCACCGTATTCACGCGGTTCGATTCACCAGTTCGAGCGTGCACTACAAACGACCAGCGAAGAACGTGCAACAGAAAATCAGCATGTAAGTGACCGGACACAGCTTGATCGGTCCGCCTCCGCTCGCTGTACGGCTGATGTGGATAAAAGCACCACCTGGCTTTCAAACGCACCTGGGGGGCACGCATCTCGCAGATTGAGCAACACATTTGGACTAACAGTTCCAAGTGTACCACCCATCCAAGTCTTTTCGGAAGAAAGTCCAGAAGCCTGCATGAACGTAGTCCGTGTGCGTTCATTTCGGCGCACCAAAAACGGTGTTGTCAGTCAGGGCGACAGTGACATCTTCTACAGACCTGCAAACAACGCCTGCACTTGTAGACACTCCCTCAGTTGCGGTTCAGAGTTGATGGCAGCAGAAGCCACGGCGAGCGGTAGCGGAGAGACGACCAATGTACCAGAGCAACGGTCCTCTGATGAGCAGTCCCCGACCGCAGTTGTGAGACGCAAACCACGTCATGGCAGTGCTCACGAACGTCCTAGAAAAAAGTTTAGTCATCAAGAGATCTATGCGTTGGATAAAGTGGAGGCCGCCAGGGTAATACGACGCAAATCCCTTACTCCAACATGGGTCTGTTCCGATCACTCCGACACAGAAAGTGCGGTCAAGATGAGTCCGCAGACGTATACCGTGCAGGTACTTGGTGCAGCCCAGGTTGGAAAAACTACCATGTGCACCCAATTTATGACCTCAGAAACGTTAGACGACTCAGCCGATTATGGTAGGATTTTTTGAAATTTTACGATATATAGTCTCCCTTTGCTTTGTCGGATCCACTTCTTCATCCTATCACCTTTGTCCCT